CCTCTTTTCTGTCATTACGATCCGAGAGTTTCTTCTTCCCGCCGTTTAGCCCCCCCCTCTCACTTGAACTGGATCTGGTTGAGCAAGCGGCCAGGGTACATTCACATACGGAGTGCTAAGGCAGAGAGGAGGGGCAGCAGAGTAGTGTCTGGAGAAGAAGGGGTGGAGGAAACGATGCATAGGAAGCAGGCTTCGTGAAGTTTCACCGAATTTTTGATAGAGTCGAGAGGGAGAATGCGCCTCACCAGGAAGTAGACTGCTAAGTGTCGCTGCGTGATCTGCATCTAGTCACGTTCCAAGGGTAGGCTACGTGCCAAACTGTGGGAAGTTGGGACATGACTGCCATGGTATACTGAGCTCATGTGGTGAGCCCCCTGCGTATCTAACGCCTGTAGGATTGTCGATTCCGGCTTGAAAGGTGGGTACTGCAGTTGGTATGGTGGCCGCAGACTGTGTCCTCTGTGGGTGTGGATTCTCGACTGATTGAAGGACAAGGCTGCGAAAGCTGTATCCGTGCGGTGGTTACTGAGCCTCGGCGGGGATGCTGTTTTCTAAGGGTTGTTGTTCTGCGATGCTGCATGCCATGGCTAGCTGCTGCGAATAGAGGCTGCTGTCTATTGGTTAGGGCCGGATGCTGCCTCTCTTAGAATGCGGATTGTGTTTTCGGTGTGAGTAAGGAGCTGGTGAAAAGCAAGGCTGTTGCGTACTACGGCTGTTGTTGGCCGCGCGGGCTGCTGATGCATTGTTGACTGGGCACGGACGGCTGCTGCTGGTTGCCGCATATTGCCGCATACAGTTGCGGACTGTTACAGGCCGTCGTGCAACAAGGATTTAGGTTGAGAAGAAGGTTGTAGGTTAGACGAGTGAAAGTTGCAAGGGTTGCTGGAGTTTGGCTGTGCTTTCTGTTGGTGGGAGACGGCGGTAGGTGGCGAAGTTCTATAAGGAGGGATTGCTACTACGAGTTGAGGAGTCGCGGGAGGATTGTGTTCGGCGGTTTCACTTTGGATTTGACGAAGTTGTTATGTTGGTCACCATTGCGGGGCCCTCAGGCGCTGAAGGTACCAAGACCCTCTCCTGCGAGTCTCAGCGCACCCTCTTTGGATCTGAGAGTCTAACCCCCCCTCTTTCTGCCCTTCTTACTCTGAGTCTAGTCCTGACCTGAGAGAAAGGCGGCAGGCGGGATTGCAACCCGTAATCCGCGCCAAGGCTTCTGTGGGAGGTTCGCCCCACCGATTGCGGGAGCTCTGTCGGAACTCAGGAGGAGTTCTGGAGGCAGGGAACTCAGAGGTAATCATTGCCTTCCCCTCTAAACCCAGTACAACCCCTATTTATACACCTCCTATGTATTGGTTGATTGGGTTGTATGCAGTACTTTCTTCGATTTTTTGATTGACTTTCAGAATACAAATCAGACTAATTAAAGGGATGCATATATAATGGCAGTTTCAGTTTCTTTGATTGCCTGAAAGCAAACTGTCACAAGGGGTGCATCGGGGGGAAGGCTGGGAGGAAGGCAGTTTTGCTTGCGATTGAACGGGTCTTATAGGGTCAGGCATTGTTTCTAAGATGAATGACCCGACTGCTGTGTTTTGTTCTGTTTTCTGAAGAACCAAGCATTGTTTCTAAGACGAATGGCTTGGTTGCTGTGTTTCTTTAATTGTGTCAGTCATTGTTTCTAAGATGAGTGGCCTGGCTACTTATTTCTGAGGGGTATTGTTTGCTTGA